CCCATAGGGGCCGAAGGACCGCCGACAGCCTGTGGCGAGGACTCAGCCTTCAATTTTTAGCGACGCCTACTTTTCAGGGTATTCATAACTTCGGCTCTTTTGGTACTTATATAGCATGTGCGATAACACCGACGCTGCTCACTCCGTCCCAGGCAAATTCGCCCACTACGCTACATGAAAAGCGACGATTTATCTCTGTTCCAAAGCCATTAATGCCTGATTGAAGATGGCCACAACACAAACACTTGAAACGCAGAGTAGCCAAAAACCACTTACTTTGAAAAGAATCTCGTCAATATCGTGCCCCATGAGCTTATGGAAAATGTACTGAGAAACGCAGTGAGGATCTTTTTCTAGTGTATTCAACGCCTGATACATGCCGATCGAATGACGTCGAGTTCCACACGGCCTGAAGTGAAATCATAGGAAAACAGTAGTAAGGCAACGCTATTGTTCTGCTTACCTCACAAGTGAAATTGATGCGCGGATCAGTGGGCATTTTCTCCGAGGCAGCAGCACGCATTTCTATTCCAATCTCGTCGCTATGATCTTAAATAGGATGAATACGGAAAAAAAGTGGCGAATAACATGTTGTAAGAACTCAAAAGTTATATCAAACGAGATAGAAATATTCCTAAAGGAAGCTCGATAGCTTGTTTTCTTGAAATGCTATGAGGACTGTGAGCAACAGCATTTTGAAGAAGCAAAACTCACTATCAGGAATCTTGAAAACCTGTCCCAAACATTGCCATTCCCTCTCGATCGTTTGATTATGCTTGAGTCGTAGCTCGTCACCGATCATCAATTTCATGCCTATAAAACTCTAACTTAGACCACGTCAGACTTCAATAGGAATCGCTTGAGCGGTTCGATCACACGACCATAACCGGGAGCGCTCCACCACCGAAGGATGAACCGCCACAACGGCGTAATTTAAATTGGCACTTTGTAAACGCAGCCCAATTTGAATTCGCTTTGCGCTCGGATGTATTGGACCACGTTCATACTTTGCGATCCCATCGCTCGAGCGATCCAGATCGCAAAGTCTGAACGCTGTTTTACACAAGCCTCCTTGCAACTTTATCCCAAAATGAATCGAAGCATCAAGACAAACCCGATCGCATACTGTGGATAGTGGCGTTCAGTAACGATCCTGCAGTCGTCAAAAGACTCTCCAAAGAAGAAAAAGGCAAAAATGTCATGGAGAGCACTCTAATATAGTATAGTGTAAGGTACTGTAGCGTCACGTAATGTAAGACAAATTACTATATGTTAACCTCAAACTTAGTTGTTAATTATTATATGGGAGTCAATATGATAATCAACAACTAACTGTGAGGCTAACATGAAGTAATTTGTTTCACACGCATTACATGACGCTATAATACCTTACACTATACTAGCATTATACTGTAAGTAAGGATTTCTGGCAGCCTCAGTGTACGAGTTCCCTGATCTGTTCATTTTATGCCACCCGAGCTATGCCCTTCCACCAGCGTCTAACTACTCGTTTCATCGCGTTATTCAGTGCTAACACCGCCTCGGAGTGAAAAAAAATAATGCGGTAAGGAGGCCTACGAAGTGGTTAAGCGGTGAAACTGCCTTCAAGTGAACCTTAAATTCCAGCAACCTGTCAAAACATAACTCACTTCCTTCCATGAACTTAGGCAAATGAAAGAATGCGAGGTGTTTTTTGTTCAATCCTTGATCCCAACGGACATGACCAACACTCTGCGTTTGAGACTCTTTTGTCTTTCGATCAAACTCGGCCTCTTCGCGGACTAGCGGAGCAAAAATACGCCGATAGTGGAACGCATCTTCGTATCTAGAACACTAAGTAAAGTGAGAACACTAAAAAACAATTGAACAGCTTCTAAACAGAAATAGACATATGATACAACGAAAAGAAACCAGCCAATGAAAATGAAGAGAAAACCACACAAGCATACCTTAACAGCACACTCTCTGGTTCAGTATCAACACCCGGGCGATCTAGGTCTTCCACTGTTGCTTTAGGATGTTCTTTCCAAAGATCTTCAAGACGGCTGGCTTGAGCAGCACTAAAATGGTTTCTAATAATGGAGCCCTCTAATGTAAATTTTGTACATGCGATGATGAGCCGCGTCAGTGAGGCTAGACTGCGCGCTGCAATCACATCTAATTCAGTTGCTGCATCGGGTAAACGACAACAGTTGGTGGAAAACGATTGATATGAACTAAATGACACAGACTTGTGCCTCACCCACCCGCTAAACGCAGTCAAGAGGGCACGCCCCATCACCTGCAGCGAACTAGACTGTATCAGCTAACTCCGAGTTCATTTTGAAAATCTACAACTATCTCTTCTATTCCTGTAGAAAGATTTACATCGCAGATTCGAGTAGCTTGTGGGTTCTCTGCGGAGCAAAAGTTCTTGTGTATTAGTAAACAGAAAATTCAATAGAACAAAACACTTACGTGATATGTCGGGCTCTGAGCTGAGCTTGCTCTGATGGTATATTCACTATCCACGAAAGAAGCTGAAATCGTAAGGTAATTGGAATACTGAGAAAGTACTACCGAAAATCATTTGATTATACGAAACCTGTCTTTCATTGATCAAAGGCTTCCATTCTTCTCCTTGCCAGTTAGGATCTTTCTGGGAGGCGATCTGAGCGCATGGATGTCGACAGAGAATTACCTAGAGCGTGGAAGCGTTCAAAAAAGAACTCTATTGCGTTCCAGAAAGAATCAGTCAGAAGTCAACCTACCACTAATGAATCAGCTTTTGCCGGAATGAATCCAAGCATGAACACATTGCGCGATGCACACTGATAGCACTCCAATTGGGTCTCTCCAAGCGGTGATTCGCGGTGAAGACATACCTACACTTTCAATACAGTACGAACTGCATGAAGTCGTAAAATAACCAAAGCACGAGAGTTCCGTAGTAAGGCAGAACATAGCTACTTCCCCCCACACGTAGAACGAAAAACACCCCCCCCCCCTGTACGAACTTATTTGGAATTGAGGAAGCAATTATGGAAAATTATGGACCGGGTAGGGTTGAAATGGTCACGGTGGTAAACCTAATGGGCGAACTTCTTGAAGAGAACCAAGGAAGAAAGCTAAAAAAATTCCTTCGTCATTTTTGGTCAAGCACATTAAAGTATTACTTTCATAGCCAACATCAGCAAATGATTCAACCTTTCATAGAAATGAAACGTTTTGCTACCTCTTTGTGTTGCGACCGGACTAAATGAGTGATCAAATGCGATCCTGATGTACTTCCTTTGCCATTGCAGAACCACCTGTTACAGACTGTACACATCGCCACGCAGCTCGACTCGTAAATACCACAATATCTGAAAAGATACACTGTGAAATCAGCCAAGGTAATAGATTGAAGAGGATGTGCATTGATTCCGATGCACGTTTCTCGGGTCGCTTCGCGCTTCTTGGGACGATTTTGAAAATAACTTCAAAAGAGTGTTCTACTTGAACTGTCAGACCAAACACTTGTTTTTTTTGTGGACTGGAATGAGTGGTGGCCAAAAGCCATCGGGCGGACTCGAGCAAGCTAAAGGAAAAGAGCAAAAGGCAATGAAGAAAACAAAAGCGACCTACCTGCATGAATGTTCTGGGAGCTTCTCTACTTGTGGTTGCTCATCCTCCTCAACATCGTGAAACGTCAAATCCGCATTGTTCTCAACTCCTCCAGTTAGATTTCCATGTGCTATCTAAAACCAATGAAAAAAGTGACCAGTACAGCATAAAAATCAAATGCTGTAACTAAAATTAGTGCACGGAGAGAAGTTCCTAAAAAAGAGGGAAGGTTTGAAAGATAGTTGAAAACGATCGCAAACAAGCCCATTGCAGCACAATCATTCGAAAAGATGCCCACACCGCTTATATATTTGATCAACTCAAACCGAAACCTTGAATTTACTTCTCCCGCATTATCTCCATGTCGAAAGTCAAAGTTTGCATACGAGTCAGGCAGTTTCCCTGACATTTGCGTGGGTTCAGGTTCTAGCTGAATATGCCGGAGCATTTATTGTAGCAGCACGTCGCAGTACAGTAATCACAAAACTGCACAATGGCTCCTTGGAAGCTTTGAGCGTTGTTTCCAACTCACTTTCTCTTGTTTTCCAGCACTTATACGTGCCATAAGGTGCAGAGATCACGGTTGTAACAAGGGGGATGAGAACTTTAGCCCGAGCGCGGGGAGAAGCTCCAAGGTGGGTTATACGCTGATATATCAAAGAGCGCGTTAGGGTCTAAGCAAAACTTCTCCGACCCCTCAGGATGAGAGTATGTTTCAGTGTTTCAAATTCCTGCACAAAAATGTCCCTTAGAGACCTGCACTAATTAATTGAGGTCCGACGTGAAACCTAGTTCTTTCGCACCATTTCCTAGCCAGATTCTGAAACTCATACACGAGAATGCCAGATAGTTCCTTGACACTGAAAAGGGGACGATGAAGCGCAACTCATGCCGAAATAGCGAATCTCAGGAGGAGGAGCCTCTGGATAGCTGCGGACCGCGAAGCGTTCCTCTTCCCCATATTTTCCTCTCTTCATCTGCTCGGTCAGTAGATGCGATGAAAAAAAAATAGCTGCCAACCCTCGCTGCGAGAAAGATCCGATTGACAGAACGTCTTCTACATTTCTAAAGAAGATGATCCCTCGAGATATCCTGTTGATAGCTTTCCTACCACACCCAGCAACAGGGGTTTGTGATAATTAGGTTTGAAAAAGCAAGTTGAAATATTGGTTAATCACCTGAGAGCTTTGTGTCGGTATAGAGAAATGGTGGTCGAAGGCGAAAGTGGAATCTTGAGTTCCTCCGTGTAGAACTCCATCATCATCTACGGTCTCCACAAACGTTAATGTTTCGCCAACTCCACCTCCGTACACCTCGTCAAAGTCCATACGATGACTAGGTAAAAATTAGAGGCCGTAATTCTGCCTGAAACTGATAAAACTATAGAAGACATTCCCATAAAAGCGCAAAGAATACTACGACTCGCATAAACTTGAACAGTATAACTCGTGCACAGAACAAGAGAGCTATTTAGTGATAAGAAAAATCAGCACTGGTAGGTTCAAGCTGACGGAATTGGAGAGGATTGCGAAAGTAGTGCTGAGCCCCTTCAAAGTACATTCTAGACGCTTCTGGATCAACTCGCATGACTCATCATATGAAGTGAAAGGTTTCCCAAAAAAAGAACCGAAAAATACTGCGAAATGTTCCAGAGGTTTTCAGAGCAAAAGCAGAGCCTACCTCTTTGAAATAAACTGTTGCAAAGAAAACCTTATGGTAGGGAGGAAATCAGCTGAATTCAGGAATGGGGATCAAGTAAATGAGTATGGAGAGATGAATGAGACTGATTGGAGTACAATACAATGTGATACAGTTGAAATGATACCACTATCAGTAACACGTTATACTCACCTGCAGCGGTAAATTGTGAGCGCAACTTTTAAAGGCCGCCACCTACCGTAATCACAGTTGTTTTCGTCCATCCTTGTTGGACGGAGTACGACTTTCGCTAGCTTTTGCCTATGGTAAAATTATTCTTGGCGGTACATGGTATCCAG